AGGTGAACGAATCTCTGAGTACCAGGACAGTCACTGCTATGTAAAGACCCTGTCTTAATTGGGGGCTGGAGAGATGGCTCAGAGGTTAAGAGCACTGACTGCTCTTCCAGAGTTCCTGAGTTCAATTCCCAGGAACCACATGGTGGCTCACAGCCATCCGTTATGAGATCTGGTGCCCTCTTCTGGTGTGCAGATATACATGGAAGCAGAATGTTGTATACATAATAATTAAATAATCAAATAAATAAATAAATAAATAAATAAATAAATAAAATCTTAAAAAAAAAAAGACCCTGTCTTAAAAAGCCAACCAACAAACCAACAAACAACAAAACCATACTAGTCCGGCAGTGGAGGTGCACACCTTTAATCCCAGCACTTGGGAGGCTGAGGCAGGTGGATCTTAGTGAGTTTGAGCCCAGCCTGGTCTACAAAGTGAGTTTCAGGACAGCCAGGACTGTTACACAGAGAAGCCCTGTCTCAAAAAACAGAAGCAAAGCAAAACAAAGAAACAAACAAAAGATGCCATAGTGTGTCTAACATTTTGAGTGAGGTGTAGTGGTGCAGACTTTTACCTGGGTTATAATCCTTTTTTGTGGAGCATATGGAATATAAAACATATGCTCCTTGTCCTTTTGAAGAGCCATCTGGAGCCAGGCAGTAGTGGTGCATACCTTTAATGCCAGCACTCAGGAGGGAGAGGCAGGCAAATCTCTTTGAGCTGGATGCTGGCCTGGTCTATAGACTGAGTTCTAGAACAGCCAGAACTTCATAGTGAGACCCTGTCTTCAAAAATCAAAAACCAAAACCAAACTCCTTTGGGGCAGCCTAGACCTAGTGCATGCTGCAGCAGTGGAATCCTCCCTCCCAGCCATTCCTTGGAACTCAGGTGTTGCACCAAGCTGCTCCAAGCTCTGTCAGACCAGGGAGGCAGGAAGGGTAGCAGGGCAGCCAGGCCAGAGGGCTTTGAGTATCAGTCAGATGGCTTGGGAGGGTGAAACCCAAATGCATACAGCTGGGTGAAGCCTGATGGGCTGTGGGAGTCCATTAGGTCCACTCTGCTAAGACCTGCCAAGATGTGTCTCAGCAGAAAATGTTCTTTTCACTCTCTCTAATAATCTTCCGGAGAGGGTCCGTTAATACATTATTAATGTCCTCTAGCTGGCAGAATAATTGGCAGAGATCTTATCTCCCTTTAGTTCCCACTGCTTCCAGTGTTAACATCAATAGTTACTTGGTAAGGAACCAAGGATTAAATTTTACAGTTACTTGTACAAAGTTGCAGGGCTCTTAATATTTTTTCCTCTGGGTCTTTTTATTTATTCATTTATTTATTTATTCTGTGGATTGTTGTTTTACCTACATGTATATCTGTGTGAAGGTGTTAGATCCCCTGGAACTGGAGTTACAGTCAGTTGTGAGCTGCCATGTGGGTTCTGAGAATTGAACCCAGGTCCTCTGGAAGAACAGCCAGTGCTCTTAAACACTGACCCATTCCTCCATTCCCCTTGTCTAGGTCTTTTGTTTGTTTGATTTTTTGAGACAGGGTTTCTCTGTGTAGCTTTGGAGCCTGTCCTGGAACTTGCTTTTTAGACCATACTGGACTTTAACTCACAGAGATCCACCTGTCTCTGCCTCCCGAGTGCTGGGATTAAAGGCGGGCACTTGTTTGGGTCTTAACAAATGTTTCAATAATTGTAGAAAGTTCTTTGTCTCAAAGAACTCACTGGAACCCATGAATATTCCCACTTTTTCACTTAAAGTCATGAATTCTTCTGTTTCTATTTAAAGAAAAATTTTCTTACCTCCTCAGATGGTCAAGCCCCTCATGCTGGGTGCTGACTGTGGGGGGTCTTTGCAAACACCAGGGCCTGCAGGAGTGAGCCAAGAATGAAATCTGGCTCAACAGAACTCAATAGCAGGTGTTGGTTCAAATCCCGGGAAGTGTATTTTGGGTGCATTTATGTACAGTACAGTTTTGAAAAAAAGTTTCCTGGTGACAGTGACTCAATCCCATATGCACGATAAAGCTTAAGCACCACTACACCCAAACTCTTTGCAAAGTACTGTGGCCTCTTCCATAAAGAGGGTTCTATCGATAGGGAAAAAATGTTCAAGATAAAGGCCTAGGCAGGAAAAGCCTGGGACAAATATAATAGTTTACAGGAATCAGGTGTGGCCTGGCCCTACAGATAGCACTTTTCTAATAAAGTGCTACATACCTATGTGAGTGAGAAAGGAAGAGGCCCACTAATCTTGGGAAATAGGCCAGGGAAGGTTTTTTCCCCCAAGACAGGGTTTCTTTGTGTAGCTTTGGAGCCTATCCTGGCACTCTCTGGAGACCAGGCTGGCCTCGAACTCACAGAGATCTGCCTGCCTCTGCCTCCCGAGTGCTGGGAGGGATTTTTTTTTTAATGTTGTTTTTTTGGTTTTCAAGACAGGGTTTCTCTGTGTAACATTTCTGGCTGTCCTGGAACTCGCTCTGTAGATCAGGCAAGATCCTCCTGCCCCTGCCTCCTGAAGTGTGCTGAGGTTAAAGGCATGCTTCACCACAACCTGGCTGGAAGAGGGATATTTGACTGTGGCTTCCTCAATGAACAGAAATTGTCAGGCAGCTGTGGGGGTGGGGTGGGCGTGAGTACAACCATGCCAGCAAAAGCAACAGGATATGCAGAAGCAAGGGAATGAGAAAAGCACAGAACTTAACGCCTTCGCCCGAACCAAGTCTCGGAACTAATACTACTGAGTGGGAGTAGGCACTACTAACAAAATAGCTAATGTGACTGAGTGCTCACTGTATTGCGCTTGTTACAGATACTGTGAAGATGAGCTGCAAACTACTCAGCACACAGTAACTTCAGTAACTCAACTGTCATCATCGCCTTCTCTGGATCCTGGAAATCTAGCTCATAGATTAAGATTATATATGTGATTAGTTTTCTTTTTTCTTTTCTTTTCTTTTTTGTTTTCGAGACAGGGTTTCTCTGTGTAGCTTTGGAACCTATCCTGGCACTCGCTCTGGAGACCAGGCTGGCCTCGAACTCACAGAGATCCATCTGCCTCTGCCTCCGAGTGTTGGGATTAAAGGCGTGTGCCACCAACACCTGGCTGTGATTAGTTTTCATTTGTGGGAAATTAAGTGACTGACGTGGGGCATGAGGCTGCTAGTGGAACAGCGGGGACTGCTGAGAAGGTCCACATCCACACAAAACTGCAGAAGTATCTGCCTCGAGTGTAACTTCAAGTGCTGTGTGTCTGCGGAGGAGCAGCTGGCACCCAGCTGGATGTGATGACAAAGCATGGGGAAAGGGAATCCAGAGTGATGGACGGCAAGATGGTAAAAGTGCCAAAGTTTGATTCTAACCCAAGAAGAAGGTAAAAGGGGCCGAGGTGTAGATCAGTGGGTAGAGTGCTTACTTAGCATGTATTCAGGAGGTGGAGACACGAAGATCAGGAACACAAAGTCACCCTCAGCTATGTACTCAGATTGGGCTACATGAGACTATCTCAAAGACAACCAACTAAACAAACAAACAAACAAACAAAAAATGAAGCCAGGCATTGGTGGCGCATGCCTTTAATCCCAGCACTTGGGAGGTAGAGGCAGGTGGATCTCTGTGAGTTCAAGACCAGCCTGGTCTACAAGAGCTGGTTCTAGGACAGCCTCCAAAGCCACAGAGAAGCCCTGTCTCGAAAAACCAAAAAACAACAACAACAAAAAAACAATAACCCCCCCCCCAAAAAAAAACCAAAAAATGAAGTCGTCATCATCGTCGGCTCAACCCACTGCTGCCTTGAACTTTGCAAAATAAAGCATTCTTTCTTAGTTTTTTTTTTTCAATATATATGGATATTTTGACTGTCTGTCTGTCTGTGTACCATATGCATGTCTGGTGCCTAAGGAGGCCTCAGTAGGGTGCTGGATCCCCTGGAGATGGAATTGTAGATGGTTGTAAGCTTTCATGTGGGTGCTGGGAACTGAACCCAGGCCCACTGGAAGAGCAGCCGGTGTTCTAACTGCTGAGCCATCTTTCCAGTCCCCAAACCCAACACACTATTCTAAAAATAAAGCAAAACCAAACAAATCTCCAAGGAAACAACAAAAGTGTCTGCACAAAGTCAAAGCAATCATAGTAGGGTAGTTGCACACACAAGTAGGAAGGGTGCCTATCTGCTTATGGTTAAAGCAGTTACGAAAGAATCCTTTGGTAATGTTCACAAAAGACATACCCCACAGAAGACTGACAGATCGTGGTCAACAAAGGCAAATTTCCAGTTCAAGTCTTTCTCACAATGTGTGCAAGCCCATTTGTCCTTTAGTTTTTAGTAGCTTCAAGAAGCTACATGGCAAAAAGTGTATCAAAATCCAGTGAAGACACATACTTGTGTTTTGGGGCATGGTGGGTATGGAGACCAGAACCTTGCCAGGCAAAAACTCTACCACTGAGCTACAACCCCAGTCAGGGAAGATGCTCTTTGAAGTACCACACTGCAGGACCTCTGGGCACATTGTCTTAGCGCGCTACAGATAGCCATCTCAAGAATAACCCGTTTCTTAACTTAAACTGTAGTCTGACAGACGAGGAAACATGGAAATGTCTGCAATATTTTTAGTCTCTTACAGCACAAAGATATTCGTGGGATTATGCAACTGTCCTCCGCACACTCAACAGCTGCTATTATTATTATTTGTTTTCGATGTTGTGTCTCCTCCCTGCCCAAGGAGCTACCTGATCACATGCTTGCAGACCAGCATAAGCGGAAACCTGGCGGTCACTGGGCAAGAGCGAGCTGCACTTTGGCCCTTTGCTCGTTGACAAGGAAGGATACCCCCGACCCCGAAGTGCTTCAGGCCCCGCCAGCGCGGGCAGCTCCGACCGGTCCCGGGGGCTGCATCTGTGCCCCCAGCCCGCAGCCACTCCCTCAAGGCGCCCACGGCCGGAGCCACCCGCCGCCCGGAACGCTACCGCTAGCAGCCCCTCGGTGGTCCAGCCGCTCGCCCGCTTCGGCCTGCCGGGCGCTCGGCAGGAGCGGGGTGCTGTCCGAGTTCTCCTCCTCATCGTTCACCGCCGGACCCCGAAGCAGGGGCCTCATGACGTCCGGAGAGCCGATGCGCTGATGTTGTTGTTCGGCCAACAGCGCTCACGGGAGGACATCCCCAGCGTCGCTCTGGCCGGGAGGGACAGCACTTAGCTCCGCCTCTTGCGTCACCTAGACCCCGCCCATCTCTGACCGCGGGTTCCTAAGGCGCCATTTTAGCTTCGGGCAACTCCGATGTGGGCGTGGCGTGGCGGGGTGGGCGTGGCTGGACCGGGCGAGGCGTTTACTTGGTTTGTCGAGGGCCGTAGGGAATCCAGGTTTCTTTCTGTTCCCCTAGCGAAAGGCGGGTCCTTGAGGGACTGGGGACAACCTGGAGGCGGTGACGGTGCTTTCATCGCGCAGTGATAGGATGTTAGGGAAGTGGACAGGGGATACCTGACCTCCAGATGTCTGTTCTAGAGTTCCCGACTATTATCAATCTTTGTCCTAGGACAGCATGTAGATTTTCAGGTGGAAAAGCAGTAAAGAAAAACATGTTCTGTCTGACGAACTGCCTATTTCACAGGTGAACCTTAATGCAGGCGGCTGGTTTTTTTTTTTCCCTCTGGAAAGGTATTGGGAATTGAACCCAGGGCCTCATACATACTAGAGCAACCCTGGTACCATTGATTTACATTCCCAGCCGGCAGGCCACGTGATGTTTCAAGCATGGTGGGGGTTGTCTCTGTTAATCTAATTTGGAAAGGTTTTCCTACTGCTGACTCTAAGAAAGAGGAACTAGGTAAATGCCCTAGTCAGCCTTGTGGGGGCCTTTGGGCCTCTGAGTAATAAAGGCCATTTCTGCAGCCAGATGGAAAAGATAGGATGTGGTAGATGTCCTTGGAGAAATCCAGACAGATCAAAAAACAACAAAGGCTTGCAAGCCAGTAACTCAGTAAGCCACTCGAAGTCCCTGTCTAGAAGAAGGGCTAAGGATTTCTGAAAAACTCCTGGGCTAGTAAATGTGGGGCAAGTTTTCAACCATCATATCTTGTAGATTTCAAACTGATGGTTGTAGAGATAGGCCCCTATCTCTAGAGATAGCTTGCACACACCCACCTGGCAAATCCTTTTAAAATATTTAGACAGTAGTTCTGGTGTGGTTAATTTGATGTGTCAGTTTACTTGTCCACCACATGGGTCTATGCCAATCAATCAAGGTTTGATTAGAACAAAAAGACCAGCTTCCCTTTTCTTATCTCATTCCCCACAGAAGACGGGAAGAAGAGATCCTCCAGGCAACCGTCTTCAGATTTCATTAGCAAGAGCCCTCCCGGGTTTCTGCACCACTGCTGTCCTTTGGGAGCCAATAAGTTTGCTCTTTACTGTATCTCCTTTCTCCTATTGATCCTCTTTCTCTGAGAAAAGATTGCCAATGTCCTTCTTGGTAAGCACAGGGAAGCTGATTCCAACAGCTCTGAAAACTTGCTGATTATAGCAACACCATGTTTCTTTAAGTACACTTTTTACTTGAGAAGGTTCAGGTTACAGAAAAGTTGAAGAGTTGATATAGAGTTTGAGGTAGGATAGGAAGGCAGAGTTTGAGAGAACACAGGAAAGGAACCCCTCACTCCCAAGTCTGGGTGAAGTCTGCCAGCTGAATTAAGAATGCCTGCACAATTAGCAAAATTTGCCGTGAAGGTTGTCTATACTGTTCTTTTAACACAGAGGTATTTTAAGTAATGTTAGAATAGTAACCGATCCGGTCTAAGGCCTAAGCATGTGTGTCCTTGAGTGTGGCATTTCCCCCTTCCCAGCTGTAAACCTTGACTCTGACAAGAAGGCCCATTTAGGTGACACCATTGTGCAACCTTATGACCCGTGGTTTTATCACGTCAGACTGCTATCCTATCTAAGGCACCCGGACAGACACTCTGTAATCTCATTTACAGTCTCTCAGACTTTCTTCATTTTTTGCCGACCTTGTCAGTTTTATAGAATACTGATAGAGATTCTGTCTCAAAAACCAATCAACCAACCAACCAACCAACAAATGGTAAGAAAAGAAACTCTAATAAGGTGTTGATACTTTCCCCGGGGTCATCTCACATATGCTCTTTGCTGAGTGTATCCATTTGGAGACCCTCTGTGTAGAGGATGAAATACAGTCATTGGTGTGGAGCTTCCAGGCTCCCCTTCCTCCGTTCCCGCCATCTCCTCTTTACACATCGCTCTATGCCTTGAGCCTTATGCATAACGTAGATCCTGCCTTCCTTAAGCCATTCTTCCACTTGCTTCATTTGTATGTGGTGAGCTACTATTTGCTTTTTAAAGCTAAAATGTCACCGTGGGGGGGGCATTTGTTTTTACTTTATGTATGACTATTTTGCCTGCATAATATAAATGCATCACATACATGTCTGGCGCCTGCAGAAGTGAGAAGATGGTGTCAAATCCCCTGGAGCTGGAGTTAGAGATGGTTGTCAGCTGCCATGTGGGTGCTGGGAACCAAACCTGGGTCCTTTGTAAGAATGTGTAATGCTCTTAACTGTTTAGGCATCCATTTCTCCAGCCCCTGAAATGTCTTTTATTATTATTATTATTATTATTATTATTATTATTATTATTATTATTATTATTATTATTATTATTATTATTATTATTATTATTATTATTATTATTATTATTATTATTATTATTATTATTATTATTATTATTATTATTATTATTATTATTATTATTATTATTATTATTATTATTATT